TCATCTTGTATATTTTGACTGCTTATATATATGTAAAATAGCATGATGACAATAAGTATATTCTATAAAATGTAAAATTTCAGCATTTAACCATTTATTCTGTTATACATCCTTATGAAATTTATGTGTTTCCTTTGTCCAGAAAGTTTTGTTGTGTGCCATATGATTGAAGTAAAATAAATATATCATTCATTTTCAGGCATATAAATTTATCTCTTTAAAATTTTCAGTATTTTCCTCCAGAATTCACCAGTGTTGAGAATTTTTAGTAGTAATATTTCTGTGGAATAGTACACTAATAACTGTATATATTTTAAAAAATACTGCATGTGTTTGATAGACATCTGGGTCTACGTTTATCTACAATACAGCCTTGATTGAAAAAGAATTAACCTTTTAAAAATGTGCTGAATGTACCTTTGGAAATTAGAAATGTACCTTTAGAAAATAGACATATATGTCTTTTGAATAGCTTTTATTTTTATACTAATTCTTTTATAATATATTCACTTTAAATTTTGGTTTAAGGTGTTTGCCATAGATATAGAAAAATATAAAATAAGAGGGAAAAATAATTTTATCATCTTGAATGAGATGATTGCATTAATCTAGCAAGTGAGTTAAATCAGTAACAGAATTTTGAAAAATAGTAGTGGGTAATAGCTAATAATAATGTTTTAATGTATAACCTGTTTTATAACATTCAACCAAGTTTGTTTTTGTTAGTCCCGATAATATCAGAAGCAGTATATTTGTAATTTCAGTGTTTATTACTAATATTATATATCTCTCAATTGGCATAATTATATTTTAACTAAAATATACTGTGGAATTATACATTCTAGGCACTGTGCTGGGCTTTCTGGCAAAATTGTAATGTTTATGAATATAAATGTTATACATAATTTTTTAACATTTTAGTATATAGTATCTCTTAGGGAATTGTAATGAACTTGGAAAATCTTGTATTTTAGTGCAACTGTAAGTTACTACACTTGGAGAAAATAAAATCTTGATATTTTCATAGCACAAAAGTATACATATATGCTAGTCACAGCATCTAGATTAAGAATCCACCCTTTAACCTAAAATAAAAGTTAAAATATTTTTAAAAAGAATCTATCCTATGGAATTAATGGCATTGATATGTCATGCTGGATATATAAGAATGTTTCACAGCATCTTTTATGGTGGCAAAAGAATCAAAACTAAACATGAAGGTCTTCAGTAGGGAATTGGTAGAATAGTTTTTGTATTCCTATGATGGAAAAATATTAAAAGATATTAAAAGATAACTTAGATTGCATGTATTTACCTGAAGCTTGTATATGCCAAAGAGGAGTTTGCATAATAATATGTATGATATCATTCACTTCATACAGAGTATTGGTTAACACATTCTGTGTGAGATCAATTTAAGGAATTTACACGCATTGTCTAATTTAATCCTCACATCAACCAGCGATTAGAGCAGTTTTATCATTGCTATTGTGTCTCTGAATCTTGGATACAAAGAGATTGAATAATTATTTCCCTGAAGTCACACAGGGAAAGAATAGTAAAGTTACTCAATTATTAGAATTTTGAAAACTTCAGAATAAAGAAAGCATGTTTAATTCCTGCCCCTGCAACCCTTGGTACATGGCTGTTCTCCCTGGTTTCAGTTACTAGCATTCAACTGAGGTCTAAAAACAGGAGCGAATATAACAAGATAGTATGAGAGGCTGTAAAAGAGACTGCATTCATCTACTTTTATTACAGTAAATTTTAATTGTTCTATTTTATCATTTTCATTGTTGTTAATTTCTTATTGCATCCAATTTATAAATTAAATGCTGCCATAGGTATGTATGTATGGAAAAAAAAAAGGACATATTACAATGTATAGAAGGTTTGAACTACTTACGGTTTCAGGCATCCACTGGGGGGCTTGGAATGTATCCTCTGTGGATAACAGGGATGACTATATTTCCTAAGTTTCATAATGGCATTCTTTAGAAATAGATTAAATGTCATGCATGGGCTTTGAGCTTATTAATTTTATTATAACATTTGACAACATCCCATGAGATTCTGATGTGCGCATAGAAAATATCAAACCAGTATTATGTGCTATATACTTGGTTGAATAAATATACTCACAAGGATTAATCAATGGATATACAATGTTTGAATTGAAAAAAATAATATACTTCTGAGTTGTATTACTGGCACTATTATGAATAAAAATGTTATCAATGATATAGTTACTAGGCTGCTCATAAATACTTTTGTTTTTCTCCTACTATAGAAATAATAAAATGGCAGTATTTCACCCTGCTTAAAGGTAGATGAAGCCCCTTACTTGTTTTGACCAATGTCATTTGAATAGAAGGAATTTTTTCAGGGCCTTCCCATGGTCCCTTATGAGCTATATTGACATGAAATGTGACGGAGCTTTCATTGGCTGTCTTCCTAAATGACTAAGTCTCCTTGCAAATCTATTATAGAGACTGAACTGGTTTTAGATTTGAAAGTTATTTATTTCTGCAGTATATTATAGGTCATCTTAACTGATACACATAACAAAATGAAATGTTCAGTTTAGAAACATACAAATGTCCTTACCAAAGGAACTAGGCAATTCACTTAATAACAAAACCAGTATTTGATTTCAGGAATTTAGAATTTAGAGTATATAATTATATACTGTAGACATATTCACATATATAAAGTTAATTTTTGATTAATAACTTACAGAAAGCTATGCACTTGAGATTTACAAACTTGCTGAATAAAATTCAGTGAGAAAACCGCATTTTAGTATAAGCTTAATGAAAATGTCTTGATGGAAACCCTAGACTCCAAAACTACAGTGTGGCATTTAGCATGAGACAAGTAAAACCCATAATAAATGACTTTATACGTGGCTTTTGGATACAGTTCTAGGTTTAAAATTTGAGAATAAGGTTGGCAGATTCTATTCTTTGCAAAAAAAGAGGGCTGTCACAACAGTGTGTTCCTGAAACCCTTTTTAAATAAAGGAAAAATTGAAGAGCTGGCATTTTAACCATAGTATATCTAATACATAATGATGCTTCATAAGTTATTGAGACCTCTCTCGATCTCTGGGATAGTCTGAGCAATGGCTGAAAATAATCTATCAGAAAAAAATGTATCTATAATTCTGTCAATAATTGAGAAAATATTCTAAAATTCTTTAAATTCTAATTCTGGGTTTTTGAACACATTATATATAAAATATAACAAAATAAGGTGAACATTATCTAACTGAAGCTGCTCTTCAATTCTTATGTACTGAATTTAAGGAGAGAGATGTTATCACCCTAAGAAATTAAACCAACTAATGACCGCATGCCATTAGTATGTTTTCTAAAGTTTATATTTTCAGTTAATGCACTTTCAATGATATTAAGGGGCACTTTATTAACAGTTATTTGAAGTGTAATTTCTGTACAGAGACCTGCACATATTTAATGTGTATACTTTAATGAGTTCAAACATATGCAAACACCCTGGATACTGTTACCACATTCACTTGGATATGATTCACATAAACATATGCAAGAGCCCCTGAAATTTATTTTTAACCCTTTGTGCGTGTATGTATGTGCTAAGAAGACTGAATATGAGACCTCCTCAACAAATTTTGATATACACAATATTAGAGTATTAACTATTGGCACTATATTGAACAGTAGCTCTCTAAAATGTATATATCTTGCATAACAAAGTTCCTATTCCTTGAAAAAATTCCCATTACCCCATAACGCAGCCTTTGGCAACTATGATAGTATTCTCTGCTTCTGTGAGTTTGACTATTACAGATACCTCATATAAGTGGAATTATACAATATTTGTCCTTCTCTGACTGGCTTTTTTCTCTAAGCATAAAATCCCCCAGTTTTATCAATGTTGTCACAAATGGCAAGAATTTCTTCTAAAGACTGAAACATATTTTATTGTGTGTATATACTTCAATTTCTCTATCCATTTATCTGTCAATGTGCTTAGACATGAGTCATTTCCGTATCTTGACTACTATGAAAAATGATGCCATAACCATGGGAGTGCAGGTGTTTCTACAAGATCCTGATTTTAATTGTTTTGGATATATATCCAGAAATGAGCTTGCTGAATCACATGGTAATTCTGCTTTTAGCTTTTGGAGGAACCTCCATACTGTTTTCATAGTTGCTGTATCCTCGTACATTCTCAATGGACAGTGTCCAGGGGTTCCAGTTTCCTCACATCATCACCATTTATCTTTTGTTTTTTTTGAAAATCAAAATCCTCAGTAATATCTTTTTGATATTACTATTTGCAGTGACTTTTTGGATATGACATTAAAAGCACAGGAAACAGAGGCAAAAAATACGCAAGTTGGACTATATCAGACTAAAAACAAACAAGGAAAACAAAAGCCAAGCAAACAGAGGCATTAAAATACGCAAGGCATTAAAATATGACATTAAAAGCACAGGAAACAGAGGCAAAAAATACGCAAGTTGGACTATATCAGACTAAAAACAAACAAGGAAAACAAAAGCCAAGCAAACTTCTGCACAGCTAAGGATATAATCAACAGAATGAAAAGGCAATCTATAAAACCAGAGAAAATATTTGCAATCCATATATCTGGTAATCGGTTAATTTTCAAAATATATAAGAAATTTCTACAATTTAATAGCAAAACACACATAATCTGATTAAAGAATGGGCAAAGGATTTGAACAGACATTTCTTCAAAGAAGATATGCAAATAGTCAAAAGATACACTAAAAAAATATACAAACTCAACATCTTTAATTATCAGGGACAGGCAGATTAGTAGAATCTCCAAATAAATAAATTACTTTATAGACTATTTAACCTATAAAATGATGCATTATGTTATGTTAATTGTTACAGAAATCATTTCCTCACAATTGCTGCATCAATCTGTTTGTGGTACTATTACAAAATATTTGCTACCTCGTCATTGATAAAGAACAGAATTTGGTTTCTCACAGTTCTGCAGGCTGGAAATTCAAGATGAAGTCACCTGCATTCAGTGTTTGAGTCTAAGACAGCAGTTTGTTGCTGCATCCACTGGAGGGAAAAAATACTGTATCTTCTCATGACGGAAGGATCCGAAGGCAGGAATAGGGACCAAGCTTTCTCTGTCAAGCCTTTTTGTGGTAACATTAATTCATTCATGAGGGTGCCATCATGATGACATAACCACTTCGCAAAGGATTTCATCTCCTCTCACTGTTGCATAGGGGATTAATTTTCTAACACATGAATTTTGAGGGACACATTCAGACCATAGCAACTGGTTTATAGCAACTAGGGAGCCCTATGGTCTTCATAATAAACTGATATTTTGCTTTAGTATGAAATGAGAGGTCAGGGCTTGTAGCTGCCATGAGACTGCTTCATGTACATCTCCCCTAGTGACTATCACAGTTGATTGACAGCTCCTGGGGTTCCCCTTCATATCCATCATTACCTGTATTCCAAAATCCCCTTCTCATAGCTGTTTTCAGGCAATGACAAAGCATAGTGAGGTGCCCTGCAGGCCCGTTCCTGCTCGAAATGGAGGAAAAATGTGGCTTGATAACTCTCCATTGGCCTGCAAAAATACATTAAGAACTGTGCTACTGTCGGAAACTCATTTTGCCTAACCCTCCTTATTTTCTTTCCTCCTTCATAAAGTTTACAAATATTGTGACTGAAAGCTCTCTGTCTATTCCTGCTTCCTCCACCTCATCTTGCAGAACTGTTCATCCAAATAAATTGCTCACCCATATAATCCCATTTTGGCAGATTCAGTTTTAGAACTTTGCCTTCACTATTAGTCTCAAGGGAAATATGATAAAATACACACACACACACACACACACACACACGTAAATATTTCTCAATCTCTTATAGGTAAAATATAGTCTTTTTATGATTTAATGGAAATATTTATATGCAGTGAAAGATAAAACAAATTATTGGTTGTATTGTTACATTTAAAAAATTTGCTTAAGTAGCTAAAATATAATTAAGAATCCCCAAATTGTCCTAGATAACTATTTTAGAATCTAAACGTACATGATCACAAGTACTTAAAACTATTATAAGATTAGTATTCATTTAATTATCTGTACATCCATAATGTAATTTACTATTTTAGTTTGCTAACAAGAATGATTTTTAACAAGGGTGATCTGGTTTAAATAGCTATGATTTCCTATGTTTCCATTATTATTTTAAACATACATTGATCTTTATTTTTAAGGAAACAGAGCTGAAGCAGTGAAGTACACTTCATGATAAACACTAAAGAGAAAATATGAAACCACTATAGTCCCCAAATTACTTCATAGGGGAAACTGAAGTATATTATTAAAAATCAATTTAAGTACATACTAGATTTGTGAAAAGCTTAGGTAGGCATAACTTGAATTTACTTTAAAAAAAGGAAATACAAAAACATTCTATAATGCCCCCTAAGATACTTATTCAAATAAAAGTTTAAGTAATAGCCACATGGCGTGGGGTCAGAAAGTGGGACATGGTGGTGCATGCACCTGTAGTCCCAGCCCTTTGGAAGGCAGAGGTGGGAGGATCACATCACTTGAGCCCAGGAGTTGGAGGCTGCAGTGAGCTGTGATTGCACTATTGTACTCTAGCCTGGGCAACAGAGTGAGACCCTGTATTTAAAAAAAAAAAAAAATTAGATGGAAAAGTTTACAGAAAAAGGCACTAATTATTCATCAAAGGTAATTTTTTTCTCTTGAAACACAGCAATGTTAGATTGCTGTTCTTTTTGCCTTCTGCTTACTTCCCAAGAAGGATGAAGAGGAAGCTGCAATTGCTGTTTTGTATTTTTAGGTCTTCTTTGTAGCTTCTTATTAAACTGATTCTTGATCTGAGTTTCATTCTGTGGTAAATACAGGGATCTGGTTTTTGGAACCTCTTCTTCATAATGTCTTCTAGAGCTTTTAGATCCTAATAGAACACTGATTCTAACTTTCTGGATTTTGTACTTGGCTTGGTTTTGTCATTACTTGTAACCCCATGAGTTTCACCTGTATCTTCAAGTAACATTTTTTTAAAGTTTTTTTTTTGTTTCTTAACTGAAGAATGACAACTACTTTCCTTCTTTCGTGTCCATCTGAGTTGCCCAGTGAAGAAGCCATCATCATTATTACTAACTTCATACAGGGAAGACTGTTTGTAAAACTTTTCTTTTGTGCTATCATCATCAAAGTGCTCCTCCTCTTCACATAATTCTTCTCTGCCATCACTGTTACCACAGAGTGAGCTATCAGATCCTTTGTTTGTTTGTTTGTTTGTCTTAGTGTTTTCAGTTTTGGGTCAGCAAGTGTCTTCTGGGACTCAATGGAAACTACAGAATCCTTTTCTGAAGACATTGATGGAGAATTTGGAATACTCACTGCTTTAGGTCCATGTTCCATCCTGGCTTTTTCATTTGAATTATATATTAGTTTCTTTGCCAGTATTTTGGTTTCTTTCACTTTTTGCTCACTGATAATAGTTCCTTCATGCTGCAAATTACTTCCATTATCATTTGAATACAAAGTATTCTTAGAATGATTGTCCTCTGAAGCATTATTTGATGACTCAACTTCAGCAACGTTTTGTCTTGCATCTTTAAAGGCTTGGATAGCAGCTTTTAACACATCTATCTTTTTCTTCAGAAGAGGATGTGCTGCCAGTCTGGCAATTACTCTTTCAGTTGCAGTAGAATCTGGCTTTTTGCAGATTTTTTCGAAGTTGATATCACCAAGAGCAGATCAGTTTTCAATTCCTTCGTGGCATGGATTTCCTCAAGCAATGCTTGCGCCCGCCTTTGGTTTTTTCACAATGCATCTTCAGTACCCTTTTTTGACTTCAGTCTGCCAACACTCCTGACAGGTTTTCAGATTACCGAAACTCAAATTCTCTTCATTTCGTTTCTCATTTTCACGATCTCCTTATTGAGGTTCAGAGTTCCCGGCTGACCCATCTTAGATGGAGGGATATCAGGTAAAATGTACTCTTACCACAAATAAATCCAATTTGTGAATGCTTAAATTGTGCTTTACAGAATATAAGAATTTAAAAGCTTCACAGGAAAAATATTAATACTGTTTACGGGATTCCAATATGTGAATAATATTTACATTACAGTTCCATATAAACCTTTTACTTCTATTTAGTATGCCATCATGTCACTGCAGAGCTATGAAAATGAGAGATCTCCTAGTTATGAACAAAGAAACGTGTTTTACTGGAAGCTAATTGGCAGGTTGAGCATGTGGAAATATCTGGGCATGCACTGAAGACATCGTTTGCATCTCCTCAGTCCACATAGCAGAATGAATGTTGTTTGTGTCCATTTATGCAGGATACTCTAGAAAACCAAACTGAAGCAATGTTAGGATGCATTTTTAAAAGAAAATTAAGGAAAATAACACATACTCTTTATTATGTATTAAAGCAACCATTTCATTCTATTTTAGTGGAAGCTGTTGTTTATTATCGAATTATTTGCTTGGGAAGGAAGATATAGGGTTTTTCTATTTAGGTTGTGTCTGTTTCCCATGAGAAAAGTTGAAGACAAATCTTACCATTCAACCCAAAGTCCATGAATCAACATGTGTGCCTTGAAGCTAAGGAGCTGCTAACCTACTGGCTGGATGTTGTGTGGCTTGCCAATAGAGTTCTGCATGACAGGAACAACGGTTTTAAGTGGACTAATCAGAGCTATTAATGCAAATGTGGTGAAGGCAGGAGCTTTTCTATAGGAAGGGCTGTATCTTTTTGCTAATAACAATGCCTGATACAGACTAGTGATATCTTGAAATACAGCATATTCTGGGTGATTGAGATGTAAGATAGAGGAGAAAGAGAGCAGCATGTAGCAGAAATAGATGCCAAAAGATGAATTAAGATGATGCATTAAGCTTAAAACCTGAGGGACAGAAAACTGTATATAAGTTGAAGGGTTTGAGTAAAAAGATTATAGGAATTAGATAAGTGAGGACTATGGAGAATAGAGAGAATTTAAAGTGAGATGACAAGTGTTCTAGGAACAGAGACTGGGAATAGCCACCACGTGGTGATGGGCAGTAGCTTGGGAAGAATGCTTATAACATGCAAATTATCTGCTTACAAAAGGCCATGACTTCTGTTAAGCAAGAATAGAGCTAAGTGAAAAGAAAGGAAATTGAAAAATAGAGAAAATGCGGAGAAAACTAGAATCTCTATAGACAACATCAATGCAGCATCAACTACGTGAACAGCTTTTGAGCACAAAGAAGTATTGTTTTGACTTTAGAGGCAATTAGGCCTTTATTAGGTTTACCTGTAGGATAGTTGATGTTGTTTATTCCCTATGATGCTTGTGATAAAATCTTCACAAATTTATATAATCAATGTATGTTTTCAATCCTTACAACCCAAATAACCAATCACAACTTTCAGTATGTCATTTGAAAAAAAAAAAAAAAAAAGATAATCAGAAGTGTAATTCAGTTAGCAAGTATCAGTAGTGAAGTATACATTGTTATTTGTTAATACTAAATATGATTGAAAAATCGAAGTAGATGAAATATGGGAAGCATTATTTTGGAGAAATAAGCTTTATGCCGAAAACATATGTTTATAAAAATACTTTGTGAATAAACCTATTGTCTAATATTTAAGAGTTGAAGTATGCTATCATAAGACCTTCCTTAATTGATGAAATGATGCAAAGCAGATGATGTTGCTGCACTAACTGAAGTATAGACATGAACAGAAAATTGTTTCTTTATTTCCATGTTCTGTAAGTCGAGAACTAGAGCTCAAGATTCGTTTTTTTTTTTTTTTTTTTTCCATTTCCCTGGGAACAGAGCAACAGTCTCTCTGGGTCTAAAACATCCTTTTCTCAGTACATCCCACAGCATCATATAGAAATATGTTGCAATCAGTTGCCAAGTCAGATCCTAGCTTAATGTCAGCAATTTTCTTTCTGCAACCAATTTTGCACTCAGCATTAAGAGGAAATATTGAAGGGAGACATACCTTTTATGTTTGTAAAATTTATACTTCTTGGGATAGAAAAACAATCTCATGTTTATTGTCATGAGATTTTGAGAATAAGAAGAAAATGAAACATTATAGAAAATATTATATTATTTAACTGTCCTGTTCTAGAATACTTCCTAAGCCTGATTATTTTTTGCCAAATTAAATTAATATTTGGATATAGACAGCTTTTCAGAGTGGCAGTATTATAGTCAATGAAGATTATCTGAGGCACAATTATTGCTAATTGGACATAGAAACCACCTTCACTCTTATATATAAAAATTATTATGTGCTACATTAGCTATTTCAGTAGAATTGATAAAAGAAAGAATGTTGTATTCATGTGCTTGTCTTCCTGGCTAGAGGACCTGTTTTAATTAATCAGTTTATGGAGTTTGGAAATATATGTAGCTGAGTGCTCATGTAAATTTTGAATACATTCATGCATCTTTTTTTAAAAAAAAAAAAGATTGAAATTCAAAACCATTTTCTTACATACTCAGTAGAAGTTGTTATGAGCCAACAGTTTTTGAGCTATACTATTTTAAACATCTAAAGTAAATTATTTGACATATAAAAAGCCTTCTTCATTTAAAAATATATCTTTTAAAATAATTTTACAAGTGATAGCATCTCATTTTAGGAGAAGAGACATCAATGACAACAGTTGCAGTAACTCAATGCTGAATATGTTTTTAAATACAAGATTCTGTGTTCAGCATTGTACATACATTATCCAATTTTATCTTGATAATATGGTTTAGTGATGTGTTTAGTCTGGGTTCTCTCAGACAGAACCTATGTATACATATACATATACATATACATCATATACATACACACAAAGAGAAAGAGAAAGAGAGAGACATATGGATCTCACCATTTATTAGAGGAATTGGACCATGTGATTTTGGAGGCTGAGAAGTTCCAGAACAGGTTGTCTGCAAGCTGGATAACCAGGGAAGTGGGTAGTGTAGCTCTCTGCAAGTCTTAAAGCTTCAGAACCAGGGATGATGGATGACTGATGGTATAACTCAGTCAGAGACCAAAGGCCTGAGAACTCGGACGCCACTGGTGCAACTGCTGGAATCCAAAGACCAGAGAACCTGGAGTGCTTATGTCCAAAAGCAGCAGAGTGAGGATGTCTTAGGGCCAGGGGAGAGAGAGCTTTCCTATGCAATTTTGTTTTATCCATACCCCAGACCAGTTGGATGGTACCCACCCACATTGAAAGTGGATGTCCTGCTACTAAATATTTTAACTATAATTTTAATTGTGAAATAAGCACTGAATTCTTGTTGCTAATAATCTGGTAAGATCCATTTAACTATGAAATAAGTACCCGGAAGAACTCCTACATTTTAGGCTTTCAAAGTTTACGGCTTTTTGGAGACTTTTTTTTTTTTTTTTTTTTTTTTGAGAATAATGAAATTCAAACACTGCGATTAAAATATATGTTTACTTATACAGTATTTATGAATGAATATATATAAATAATAATTACTATTTATAATTTAAAAATATAGTAAAGTCTCTTTATCCACGTGGTGTTAGTCTGTCTCTTCTATTTTGTTTTTCTTCCGTTCTTGAGCACTCCTTGCTTTTTATCCGTGACCATTGTTTGATAATGAACATATTTGTAGCTTCTCATTTTCAGTCTTTTTCAACAATTTCAGAGACTTTATCCTGCAAATTTGAAGAAGGTTTTCTTTTCCGCAATATAATTTTCCGAATGTTGGCTACTTGTTTAATTTGTTAAACCTGCAATTGTTTTGCTTGTTTGCTTCACATGGCAACTCTCTCTAAAACCTGAATCACTGCTCCTTTTGAACTCTTGCTAAAAACATTATCGTATTCTCCAGGAGTTGAGGTGAAAGCTGGTATTTTATTGTACTGCTTTGACAGGAAGAGCCACATTATTGTCTAATTTGAGTGCCAAATATCTCCTACCATCGATCATCTTTCTGTCAGTAGACATCACAGTCTACTTCCTAACCATTTCACCCCAGGCATTGTACTGATTACCTCTTCAGCACTCTGGAGTCCACTATTTTGCTATAATTTCTTTAACTACCTGTCAACTCACCCAAGGGTATTTGTTTCATGTTTAATGTTCACCTCCCAAAACAGTCTTTTTAATTGAATAAGCTATTTTTGACATTTCATATTCAAGCTTAACATCCCTTTTATAATACAGGCATGTGTTAAAATCACATCAGCACTGCTGTGCAAAGGTTTATGGCGTGTATTATTTTGCAACTTTGTTCCACTGTCTGCCCTAAAATAAAAATCAATAGGTTTTTTGTTTGTTTGCTTGTTTTTAACATATCAACACAAATCAAAGTATTCTCTATGCTCCATTGATACCATTTCATTATTTGTTTCGTAGGCAGGATAAACATGAATTACATAATTCCTATCTTGAGTTTTTAAAAGTTACAGAAGGGTTTGTGGAGAGTGATAGAATCCAATCATTGTGATTAAAAATGTGTGTTTACTAGATGGTATTTAAGAATGAATGTATATAACAATTGTTGTTTTTGGTTTAAAAATATAATAGGGACCCTTATCTAAGTGGTGAGAGTCTTTCTACTTCCAGCCCGCTTTTTCACCCTTCTAGAGCATTCCTTGCTTTTTTACCCATAGCCTTTGATAATCAACAACATATATGTTGCTCCTCATTGTAAGCACTTCTCAACACTTGCAGAGACTTTAGTATATCACTGGCATTAATGAAATTGTGATGACTTTGTTACTGAGGTTTTTAATTAAAATAAATGATCATAATCAAAATATATTTTATAATAAAGTATTAAAATACAAATATAATAATAAAGCAAAAACTATAGTAGCATCTTCCTCTAGATTGTAACTTAAGGAAGAAACATTAACGTCCTAATATTGAAATCAGAATCTTTTTTTAAAAAAATTTTATTTTAGGTTTAAGGGTACATGCAAAGGTTTGTTGTATAAATAAACACTTGTCATGGGGGATGTGTTGTGCCTATTATTACATCACCCAGAAATTAAGCTCAGAATCTTTTCCTTTTCCTTTTTTAGCTATATTATTTCCCTTGTGGTGGGCCATAAATCTAAAATTGTAATTAAATGCCCACCATCCAAAAATGGAAATGCAAGCATGCACATGTCTTTAAAGGTAGACATAGAAACGGTTAATATAATTTATACAGAAGTTATATTTTTAATATGTGTGTGCACACACAAGGTGGAATGACCATTATGTGAGGAACAAACACTCTCCACATTTTGGTTATGTGTATTTGAATGCAAAAACTTGTACAGAGGTACGCTAAGATGAAAAAAATATGTTTCTCTTGTTCTGGTAGGCAAGTCAGGACAGTGTTCATATTTCTCAATTAAAACAGTTTTAAAATCCAAGTGAACACTCAGGGTTGAAAGAGAGACAACTACTGGTATTTATAATCTGATTAAAATTCTGTTTTATTAAACTCTCCACATTATTGCTTTAATAAGAGGCCGTGACCTTAGACTACCTTACCCTGCTCAGATAAACCATTACAAGCTTTGCAATTTGTAAGTTACTAATCATCAATCTGATACAATTTTCTGTAATTTCTGCATTGATACATAAAGACAATTTGCATATAAAAATAATAGAGGATTTCAAGATGCTATACATTTAAAGTCTTAACTGTAGAAGTGATTTTGCCACATCTAGTAATTCAGAATTAAACCAACACATTTATTTAGTTATATACATGGTGTGGTTTGAAGGTGTCCCCCAAAAGTTTATGTGTTGAAAACTTAATTCTCAGTGTAACAGTTTTGGGAGTTAGGACCTAATAAGAGGTGATTAAATTATGAGAGTTCTGCCCTCATGAATGGACTAATATCATTATCCTTGGAGTAGGTTAGTTATTATGAGAATGGGTTTGTTATAAAGACAAGTTTGACCCACTCTTGCATGCATACTTTTGCCTTCTGCTTTCTACCATGGGATGACAGAGAATGTAGGCCCTCACCAGATGCTGTTGCTATGCATTTGAATTTCCGGCCTCCAGCACCATGAACCTGAGAGTCTGTAAGAGTCTGTTATCAGTATAAAATGAACTAAGTCCCTAAAGTGCAATACGAAAAAAATGAATATAAGATTAATTTCAGACTGCTTTTTACTATCTAGTGTAGAGAGAATCAGCCCAGAGTAAAACTTAACATTATGTAATGAAGAGTAAAAGGAAGAAATCAAATTAGTGAAAATGGATGCACAGATTAGAACAAAAATCATTTTAAAAAATCAAATGATTGTTCCTAAAGGAAACATAATGCATAGTTGAAACCTCAGTGACCAGGACATTTATTTTTAATTAGCAATCCAACTGATATGTAACATCAGTAACCTTCTCAATAATTATATCCCAAGCTTTGTCATTGTATGTAATTTATAGAACTTTCCATATATGTTGTTTCATACATTTGCAATTTTTTTTTAAATTTAAACCAGTAGTCTAATGTAATAGGAACTATTTCACAGTGAATTATAAACAGTGTAGTAATTCCTGTCAAATGGCCAATGGATATTGTTTAGGTAAGCAGAATCCAGATAGTTCACCTGAAACAGAGTAAATGTCCAAACGGCTTCATAAATAAATAGACTATACCTAATCTTAAAAAGCTGCTAATATGTGTATTTGATATTAGGAATTTTAAAATTAATTTCACTGGAGTTTTAAACCCTTAGAGAAAAATGTAACATTTTACATATATAGTTTTGAATTCAATTTTTTTAACAATTGAAAAACCACACCAAGCTAAGAATTTACATTTGAATACTGAAATATTCTCTAAGTGGCCTGTTAGTGTATTCAAGTTTCCTCTTAAACCTTTTCATTTTTATGTGTTTTTTTTTTTTTTTTTTTGAGACGGAGTTTCGCTCTT